GCATGAGTCAGCATCATGAACAATACGCATGCGCGGGCATAATAAAAGCACAAGTGCGTACACCTGCGTGCACGCGCCAACTGCTCCTCCTGCAAAAAAGTGCTGCTTTGTTCTACGTCGGCTCCTCGCGCCTTCTTCCAGTTGGGCAGCTCACCTCCTCGGATCCCTCTCCAGCCTCCCGCGGCTGACAGCCCCATAGGGTCCTGCTCAGTTACAAAGCCACTAATGTTTCTATAATTATACAGAAGGTATCAGAATGAACATACATATCCAGTCTTTGTCTCTTATAGAGATTTTCTAAAACGCACCTTATCGAGAACACAGTAGTGGGCACCAGCAGAGGTTTAGGGCCTCTTTACTCCTGACGTCTCTACTATGAAGTGGGTTTATGAAGAAGCCACTTCTCAATACAAGTACCACTAAGGAATTTCTTACCCTATTTAGCTCAGCTTCTCACTGGCCTCTTGATACTGCTGAATAAGTTGTCAGGAAACAAAACTATTTTGACTGAACAAAGTGACAGGTGCATAAAGTACCAGACTATCTCCAAGTTCATCAAAAATACTGCCTCGCATATGGAAGATGCAATCCATTTTCCTTCCCAACGAATAGGTGGTGAAAGGACTTCCTTCTCAAATATTCATTTTAAGATAAGGAGCAGGGAGACAGAGATCTATAAGCGTTTGATTTTGGACGTTTCTTTGAAGGTTACTTTCAAGCTATGACAGCCCTTTATCAGAGCACAATGAATATAAATGGCAAGTAGTCATTTGCAGAGAAAAATGTGCAGTCGTAGGAAGGAAAAGGAATAAATGTGCAGAGATACCCTGGGAGAGCAGACTGGGTCAGAGTGGAGATTCTTCTTACCAGTTATCTCTGGAAATGAGTGCAGTGCACTTGGTGACTGAATTTGTTCAGTCCTTTTTATCAGAGTTTTTCATATTGCCAAGGAAGGAAAAGTAACATAATCAGTCCTTTGCTGACAGCATTTCTACCTTTTGGTTTATTAGCATTTAATTTTTATTAATAGCAGCAGAGAATAAAGAGTCTAGGATAGGGATACAGGAATTAAGTTAAGGAAATAGACTTTTGTGGTGTCAGCCTAAGGCTGAATCCGGGTTCCCCGTATCCTTGTTGAGTGACCATACCAAGCTGACTGGTCTGATCTCATCTGTAATAATGGAGATAAAACTAGTTCTTATTGTATAGGATGGCTATGAAGATAAAATGAGATGCTATAGTGAGATAAAAGACTGGGTTGCTGTGAAAGTCTCATAACTTTCTTTAGATTTAAAAGGAGAGAACACAGGGTGAGGGTGGGGTGCTTGTTTTGGGCATAGGGCAGTGGTTTGTAATTTTGGTTGCATATTAGAATAACCTACATAAATTTCTGAAAATAGCAAGGCCCAGGCCCCACCCTCAAAATTCTTACATAACTGGTCTGAGGTAGGGTGCTGACATTAGTGTTTTTTAAAAGCTTCCCAATTGATCTGAACATACAGACAATGTGGAGAAGCACTGGTCCAGAGATGAACGAGCTAATGGTAGAATCCATGAGTCCTATTTTCCTGACAATTCTTTAGGTTTTTTTTTTTTAATTAATGTCTCTTATTTTTCTATCTCCTTAGTTTACTAACTTATCATCCTTTTGTATTGTATGCATTTTTGTGAGCAAACTCATTCTTTCAGGAATAGGCAGAGTTTAAATAATCAACTCTGAAGTGGAAAGATGAACCAGCGATCACCAATCCAGGCTTCCCAATATATTAAGGTGTTTCCATGGAATCTTAAGGAAAATATTATAAAAGTCTCAAAATAAAACTCATTTTATTCTAAAATTTGTTTTTAAAGAATATTCCTTTGCCCATACTTCAAATGCCTGTTTTAGCCAAAGAAACAGCCAAAGAGACAAATAATACGCATATATCAAAACTTCAAACAAGAAGTTTGGATATCTTTAAAACTTGCTTAGTTTCCCCAACTTTCCATTAGCCTAAAATTCTGAGTGCAGAGCTTAATTTGCTGACTGAGCTCTCTATGAATAGGGGAAACCGACATCAGGATTGGATTATTGAAATAGCATAGCCACAATTATTTTAGGATCTGAAATTATGAGATTGAACTGAATGAAACTGAATCATATGGTTCAGCCTATATATTTGGACAGAACTCCGTGTGATGTAGCCAAGTCTCTTGCCCATAATTAAATATTACAATAATCCACTATAATTTTTTCTTAATGAAATCTCAGCAGTCACATTAAGCAATTAGGGCACTAGTAAATCTTTCTAATATAAGTAGAAAAAATACATAAGATCTTCCATAATTGAACAGATTTAATTCCATAGCACCAAAATTGGCTACTACAATGGAAACAGGGCATAGACAGGGTGACTACCTTTTAAGCACATCAAAACAATGGTAGCTATAAAAGGTCACACTAATCTTGACATAACAAAAGGAAAAACTGCTATAACTGAAACTTTGGAATGAGGAAATACTCCCCTTATTCCAATTTATATATTTAAATTCAATCTTTTTCCTATTTAGAACTTCTAGTCCCTGACGTTTTGGTGTCCTTCCTGGCTGTGCTTAAATATTATTGTAAAAAACTACCAGAAAATAAATCTTTTAAAAACTTAATAAACTATGTATTCCTGAACAAAACAAAATAAAGAGAAAAGAAGGGGGCCATTTTCCTGCGGGACAGCACACAGGGATGTAAGATCATATTTCAGGCATGCTGGCAAATTACAAGGTTGCTGGAGATGCCACAATGTCTTTGTGTGACGGTCTTTCCATTTGTAAAAGAGAAATGAGGGCATCTTCTTCTTTCCTCCATATGATATGGAAGTTATGTGATAGTGACCTCTATTCTTTCTGGGAAGGAAAGAAGATAAGACAGTTGCCTGTCGTCATTAATCTATACAGTGGGAACTTCACAAATACATAAATTATATATTAGGAATTAATAGAAGTTTTAAAACCTCATTAAATGCTTCCTGCAGTATGTGCCAATTGATATATATGGGACATTATTTTTTTAATTACAGTAGCAAATTCAAACATGAATTCATTTTCCCTCATGTGCTCCATCTCGTAAGCTCTGGGATACAGCATTTCTATTTCCCTGAATTGCTTTTTTTCCCTCCCTTAATTGGCCTCTCTGGATAATTCCACAGGATAAAGAGGAAAATAGTCTCTGGGATTAGTAACACTGAACAGGTGCAAAATGTACCACTGAAAAGCTAGTTAAACCTCAAAGGTGGAAGCTCCAACTATAAATTAAATGAGAGACACAGCCTCATCAGTGCCCATATGTTGGCCAACTGGGGCTGCTCTTATCAGAACCATCTTTGTAAATGTAACAAGCCTGTTTCAATGCTACCCACAGCATGAAGCTGATTTCTATTTTGCATTGCAATAGATTATACAGCTTCAATTTTCAATGGACATGCCCTAACATATTGGGTCTCTCAGGAGACACAGCAGTGGCGTTGACAAGGAGGAGCAGAGGGCTAAGCTGTATCATGCGATATTTAAAATGTTTTTTTCATGACACCAGCAAATGGTGATTACCAAATAGAATGATTCACCACTTCCAGCTGTCAAAAATAATAGCACCTCCTATTAGAAGCCTGTTACAGAATGACCGTCTAAACGTCTTATTTCTGAAAGATATGTGTGTTCACATATTGATTACAAGATCAAATGTTTAACTTGTTATATATGGAAAAGCAATAGCGCTGTAAAAAGCAAAGCTATACAGCACTATTGCTTTTCCATATATAACAAGAAATAGGCTAAGGAACAATGTAGCATTCACAAAATAGGCTCAGCACTGCTCCACTGGAAACCATGATGATACCTGCTGATGTTAATGTCACCTCTGCTTAAATGGTCTCCAAGTAGTCCCTGAGATACGCTGGAAACTAGTTGGCTTAAGACTGAGTGGTTTCCTGAGGCTCCGGACTTTCGGTGCTAAGATCAAGAAAGTCCCAGGCAAACAGGGATGAGTTGGTTAACCTACTGCAAACTTCTCACCGTCAGTACACACTTTGATCTGAAATATGTAAAACCGTGTATCAACTACCCAACAACTGCCACCTCAGCTGGGTCCCTCTCCTGGTGGAATTTAAAGGAAGACAAAGTAATGATAGATATTTCAAGATTATCTAACTCCACTTGGCAAAAAAGTTAAAGAATTTCTTCATCTTTTTCTAAATACAGGTACTAGAGTTTGGGCACAATGATCTCAGAGATGACTGGGAAGACTTGGCAGTATGACCTCGTATCACAGAAGGGGCACTGAAAGGCTGTGGGTTGGGTCTCAATGCAGATTAAATTGTTGATGTTACAATTTTAGAGCAATTTGAGGTCAGATATCACAGACTTGAAAACTGTACTTCATCAGACTAGGATATTCCAACAAGATATTCCTCCTGGAGGCCATGAGGCAAGGTGACCCATTATGGATAGTGAGTACCCTGGAGGGAGTGGAAATTTCCACGGTCAGTCTCCCTGGAAACTGGCAGCCCCAGGACAGAGAATTAAACTGGGGAAGGGAAATGTAAAATCCAAATCACAGATGTGTCCTGAACTCTTCTGGAGAGACGGTTTTAACATCGATGAGAAGAAAGTCAACCAGGAAGTAGGCAGAGCGATGCCTCATGAGGGGCCCTAAGGGAAGATGTGTCCTGAAAGGAACTAGATTTCCCAGGATGTTCATCTTCTGTAACCTCCACAGTCTTTAGTAAAGTAAATCTGGTCAGCACCTACAGGTTAGTCTCAACTGGGCTATGGAAAGTTAAGAGATTTTTCCCTTTTTTTTCCCTAATTGCCTCTCTTCTCATGAAATTTTAATACCACAGATAGACTGGATATCTGTTTATGTGCTATATGCATTTCTGTGCTTTATAAAAGTTAAATGAGTAAGTTAAAAGAGTAAGATGAGTAAGATGTTTTTACCTCCTCATGAACCAATTTTCAGCCCCGTGGATACAACATCTTCCCCCATTGAGAATGCACCGAGAAGGGATAATAGCTTGAGAGATGTCCATTCTCAGACTATCAAGAGGTAACCTGCAGAGGAGCAAGTAGCAATTCATTGGGCAGAGCAGAGATGAGAGAAGGCTGAGACCTCAGAGACAGCCTGGGTTTGCAAAGTACATAAACCTCCCCAGGTAAGATTCCCTGTAGTTGAATAGAATCCCCATTCTAATTATCATAATATGGTTATTTAAGGAAATATAATTTTATTTTTTGTAGTTATAGGCTAGTAAGGCCAAGGAACATTTGGTTTACAAATGTAAGTAAACATATATGGACAAAAATTGATGGAGAAGATGGGACTTAAAGCTCTCAGTGAAGATGGAACACCATGTACACTCAGCAGTACCAACAAAGAGGCATGTGTGATGAACAAAAGAGACAGAATCTACTAATTAGGATAATTAATGTCTCTGAAAACAAAGATAAAAGTTGAAATTATTAACCAATAGCAGTGCTGTAGAGTGTCTCAATGGTTAAGGCTAGACTGGTGTTCCAGTAAAAGATAACCAGAGATAATTGCATAAGAATCAAAATGCACAGCTAAGATTCACGTATTATAAACTTTACCTTTAGTCCTTTGCGCTGGGGATTGTGTTGCCTGTTGCTTAGTAGGAAATGGATCTTCATTAGGAGATCAGAGCTCTGTTTTCAGCTGAGCTACCCTGCACTCTTGATTCTTCACTTGCTGGCTATCAGTTCTGCAATCTATAAAGTGCAGGAGCTAACGCAGAAGGTGTCTAATGTACTCTCCCTCCTCTAACATTATTTGAAGATATAAGATTACATGCTTTGCTTTCCTATGCCCCAAAGCAGCTCATATTTGATGAGTAAGCCAACAGTCAGCCATTAAGTACTCACTAAGTATGTCCTATCTTCCATGTGGTACTGAGTATTGAGACGGGGCTGGATTAACATAATTCATTCAACTGGATCTCCTTTTCCTGCTCGTAAATATCTAAAATGTATTGTATGCATAATTAAAGGTAAGATTTTCGAAGCAGGTAACACAGGGAAAGGTAATGCAATGGCTTAAATTTATACCAAGATGTAAATGTCAGATCCTTTCCTGAGAGTAGGGTTTGGCAAAGAGAAAGTGGAGAAAGACCAGGGGACTCAGAATGCCTCAACCGAGAGGCAGGACATGTGAGTAAAGGAACAACCAGCAGGAAGCCAAGGCTGTTGCTGCTGCTGATACCCTGACTTAATGCACTTGGACATATACTGAGCACCCCAATAGGCTAGTGTGGTAATGCTTTCAGCTTGGGTTTTATTATATTTAACAAACTTATCTAAAGATAGAGTGGTGGCTAAGGTTTGAATCTATCATGGGGTTTAAAATGACAAGAGTTGGCTTCAATTGGTTAAAACATGGAGCACCAAGTTTATGACTGACATGACCTTCAATAAAATAGAATATATCCAAATAAACGGAGTTACTGATACAATATTCTTCCACATATTTTATCACTCAAGCTTTTTTGGTTCTTTCATAACACGAGTGAAAATTACATATTTAGACTAAGAGAAAGAAGTTTGCATTTGAAACCAAAATAAATAGAGAAATTATTTTTGACTTGGAGTATTTTTCTTGGTAAATACACCACTGGCCAGACTTGAGTTTTTGTTTTGTTTTTTAACTGATTTGATTTGCTATATTAAAAAGTGGCAAAAAAAAATGTACTAACCCAGCTTCTGTGTAACTCCAGAATACAACTGTGAGGAAAATAGTTTTTCTTCATTTTTTTCCTATGGAATGGAATCTGCAGACCACCATTATAGCCTTTTATAACATCCTCGCACTGTGCAGTGTGACCTCCAGCCACACACACTCCAGAACTGCTCACCAGCCCCTCAGTCCATGGTCTGTGTTCACAGGCACAGCATACATTTCTAACCACTTCTTGCTAGCGTTAGTCACAATCTATTTCCCCTATGGACTCTGGGCTCCCCAAGGACAGTGACCATGATTATTCATCTTCGTCTTCCCCGGCACCTGGCACAACATCTGCATAATATATATGCTCAATTAGTGTTAATTGCATGAAAGTAAACTATTTTTATTTTCAGTGGCCTTCTAATTATATGTAAAACAGTATAGCTATAATGAATACCAGAATCCTAAATGTAACCTAACAGTGTATCTCTGTTAGTAATTTAAATCTTTTAGAATTTTTTCAAAAAAGAAATGAACTTTAGTCAAATACATATTTTCTAATTTGTATAAGCACAAGATATTCTTAAATTACCCTGTTTCCATGCCTTCTTTTATGTGAATATGTAGGAAATTGGAGCTTCCCGTTACTTTTTATTTGTCCTGTTTGGTTTTAATTAGCATTGTTAACAGAACAAAACATGCAAACTTAGGAAACAGCTAACTAATAATATTTTTCATTTTTTTATCCCCACATTGGAAGGCCTGCAGATCCAGCCACTTGGTGTCTAAATATTTATTTACAAAATGTCAACAGATAGGAAAAAGTGTAAATAGAAACGTTGGTGATTTTAATGAGAACTAGCTCTGAAATCTAAGATTAACTGTGTCTCAAATATTACAAATAAATACTTATTCTTCTGGACCAATACTTACCTGGATCAACATCAAACACCGAGCTGTGACAAACTTTCTTATGACATTTTCCTGAACAATGGATAAAAAGACAAATATGATGAAGGACAAATATTAACTCCATGGTTCCATTTATCTCCCCTTCTATATAATTTGTTATCTGCTGTAACGTGGATAGGTTTCACATGCTATAATGTACTAAAGAACTAGGATATATTTTAGAAGAACTGTTGATAATGCTAGCTAAATTGTTGGACAAGAAAACAAGCTCTGGATATCAGGTCATTTCACAGATCTCCAAAAGGTCACATGCAAGTGAGGAATCTGTTAAATTATTTTGGAATCTCTTGATAATTACACAGAGACTCAATCAGTTTCTGAATATTAATGTATTAATGGATTTTTAATAATTTTTGCCTTCTTTCAGCTGTGTTTATGATTTACAGCTCCTACAAATACTTTTAAGCGGCTCATAATTCAAATACTTAAATGAGACTCTTAACTATAAAGTCAGGGAGTAGAGTTAAGCAATTCTGTAGTGCAGTGGGAAATCTGGGGAGTGATTTTGCCTTCGAGACATTTGGCAATGTCTGAAGACATTTTCGGTTGTCACAGCTGAAGTGCAGGGAGCCGGGCAGGTGCATTGCTATTGCTATGTGGTGGGTGGAGGCCAGGGAGGATGCTAAGTGTCCTCCAGCGCACAGGACAGCTACTCCCTGTCCTCCAGCAAAGCACTATCCGGCCCAAAATGTCTACAGTGCCAAGACTGCGCAACTGTGACATAGAGAAAGGCGCAGTAATTTGACCATAAACCATGTATAATTAATACAACTGAACATTAACGCTAACATCAGCTTTCAGCTTGGCTCTCAAGTCACAATCAACAGAACTGTGCTAATGACAATTTTGCAAAGAATGTTGAAGAGTTCTCCAGATACCTGGTTTCTATTTTGTTTGTTATTGCTTTTGGATCCTCCACAAAGTCCCAAATTCAAAATTAGTTTGTCAGTTATGAAAATACTAGGGAACCAAACTAAGATAGGTTAAGGTTAGAACTCAGTAGGCAAATACTGATGGTTCTCATAGTTTAGGGTACACAAGACTACCCAGTGTACACAGAAAGCTTGTTTAAGATACAATTCTAGGACTTCTGACTGAGAGAGTATTTAGTGGGCATCAGCTCAAGGGACCATATTTTAAAGAAATATTAATTTAGCGGGATGAATTGTTAGTGTAAACCCTGGACCAGCACTTCCCAAACCTGGAGCATAGGAATTATCTACGGACTGTTTCAAAATAAAGAATATAAAAAATACATGTATTGATCTTATTCCTAGAAATTATGATTCAACAGATGTTGGAATAGGACTCACATTAATTATGTATATTTTAAAGTCTCCAAGTTGATTCCATTGATCAACCAGGGATTAAATTTGCCACCATAGTCTATTATTGTATCATTTGGCCTAAATTCATTTTTGATAGAAGCTAGATGAATGCCTATTCAAAACTGAATCTCCGGACAGTGCTTGGGCTAGGTATAGGTTAGGCTTTGATGTATATTTAAGCCCCAATTGCCCATCTTTCTAGCTATGTGATCCCGAGTACTTCACTTAAGCTCTCTTAGGTTCCTTCTTGGTAAAATGGGAAAAAAAAGCTGCCTACTTTGCAATGGGATTTTGTAGATTGGTTAATAAAGTGTGTGGCCTGGAGTAGGCACTCAGTTAACAACTGTAAGCTTTAAAGCAAAATAGATACCTAAGCATACAGAGCTATAGGTAATATATAGTTACCTACATCTGCATATTAGATAGAGATGCTGATGAAATGTTGATATCGATTACTAAGTACAAATTAAATTATGTGTTTTTAAAAATTAGGAATAACTACTAGAAGGACAGTAATATTCTAGGATATAACTACACAAATGAAGAGGTTTGAAAGATAAGTCATATAATGCAATTTTATACCAATAAATTTGAAATGAATGGCACAATTTACTAATAAAATTTTAGTTATTAAAACTGGCACAAATAAGTACAATACCTGAGTAGACCATCATCCACTGAATATATCACAATTAAAATAAAAAATATATGCCCAATTCTACAAAGGTACTAAGTCCTAATTCTTTTACAGCTGTTGTCTACCAAATCCTCAAGGAACATGGAATTTCCAACCTACATAAACTGTTTCAGAGCATAGGAAACTATGAAAAGCCACTAAACTTATTTTATGATTCACATAAAACACTGGAATCAAATATGATACTATGACTAATGACAGCTAATTACAGCAAACGACAGGACACTCTCATTTATGTACAAAAATTGATAGCTTGTCTAGAGACTTGCATAACCCATTTAAAGTATAATGTAAGAAAAAAGATGTCATTTTTTCATAGGCACAAAAACAACAGAATAGCTAGGAATATAACCTGTTAATTTTTTTAAATCCATGGAAAAATATAGAATGTTACTGAAGGACTTAAAAAAATAATTTTGTATATAGAAAAGTGTATTTATGGATCCATAAACTCAGTACTTTATGACTATCAATTCTCACCATATTAATTTATCAATTCAATTAATTCCAAATAAAATCCCAATAAAATTTTTCATGGCAGTTGAAAATTTAATTCTAAAATTCATGTACAAGAATAAATGCAAAATGGTAGCCAAGACAATATTTAAAAATAAAATATGGATTTTCCCTGTATGACATTAAAACATATTATAAAGTATAGTAATTAAAACTGTGTGGAATTGGCCAAGGAACAAATACATCAGTGAAATTAAATATATAATGCAGAGAATGGCCCATTTATAGCTGGGAAATTCGGCATGATAGATGCAACATTTTATATCAATGGAGAAAAGACAGATTATTCAATAAATGCTTCCCAGACAACTGCCTAATCATTTTGAAAAAAAATTAATTATATTCTTACTTATGGCAATTACAATATTAAATTCTGTGTGGATTAAATACATAAATGTAAAAGATAAGACAATCTAAATAATAGAAAAAAATAAAAGTGATTACATTTATGTCCTTGAAATGGGAAGATCTTGTGACAAGACACCAAAAATTGGTAAGTTTTTTATCAAGTACTAGAACCTCTTATTGATGAAATACATCACTAATAGAAAAAATGGTGAAGACATTCAAGGAGAAAATATTTGCAATATAAAGGATTTTCATCAAGAATATACAAAGAATTTCTACAAATCAGTAAGAAAAGGACAGGGCAATAAGAATTAAGCAAAAGAAAGGAATAGTCCATTCATAGAAGAGAAACTACAAGTGGTCAATGCAGATATAAAGATTTATTCAACTTCACTAATATTCAGGGAAATAAAAATGGAAACATGTTCATCTACCAGACTGTCAAATATTTAAAAGTTTAATGATATAAATGTTTATGAGGGTGTGAGGAATGTGATGGACACTCTCATACAATTTCAAATTTCAAATGTTTATAACACATTTCCCAGGAATAATTGGGCATCTACCCTAAAAAGGTATTATGCCTGGGAATAAAGTGGAATGAGTAAAAATGTTGCTTACAAAAAGGTAGAAACTGCCTAAGCATCTCTTAGAATTACCAACATTATATTAGTTTTAGGAAGCAGTTAAAAAGGAGGATTTGGACTAACATGATTGAATTTCTAAAAATCTTTTACTGAGTTATAAAAGTATGTTATTGAATGGTATATGTAAATCAATATCATTTATAAACTTCAAAAAAACATTATTTTCTATGGATACATATATGTGTATATTAATATTTTAAACAGTCTGGAGAAAAGCATCACCAAACAATGGATTGCCTGGTTGTGTAAGGTCTGCAGCTAAGAATGGTTTTTAAAATTTTTAATGGTTGAAGAAGAAATTTGAAGAAGAAAAATAATTTGAAACACATGAAAATTATATGAAATTCTAATTTCATTATGCATAAAGTTTTATTAGAATACAGTCACAATGCAGTCTCTTCTGCATACAGACACACACACACACACACACACACACACACACACACAATGGAATAGTATTCAGCCATTAAAAAGAATGAAATACTGCCATTTGTAGCAACATGGATGGACCTAGAGATTATCATATTAAGTGAAGTAAGTTGGACAGAGAAAGACAAATTTCTTATGATATCACTTATACGTGGACTCTAAAAAATGACACAAATGAACTTATTTACAACAGACTCACAGATACAGAAAACAAACATGGTTACCAAAGGGGAAAGGTGAGGGGAGGGATAAATTAGGAGTTTGGGATTAGCAGATACAAACTACTATATATAAAATAAACAACAAAGTCCTACTGTATAGCACAGAGAACTATATTCAATATCTTATAATAACCTATAATGAAAAATAATAATAAATATGTAACTGAATCACTGTGCTGTACACCAGAAACTCCAGAAACTAACACAACATTGTAAATCAATATATTTCAATATAAAAATACCATCATGATCATTTGATTAGATCTGTCAATGGATAAATTTAATGATGCTTTAAATTTAAATGTAGCCAGATGCTTTCACGCTACAATGGCAAAGTTGAGTAGCTAGTATAGAGACAATAAATATAACCTTAAAAAGTTCCATTAATTAATTTAATTAGCATTTAACTAATAGAAAATATACACCAAAAATATTTACTATCTGGCCCTGTTGCAGAAAAAGTTTGTCAACCCCAAGGAATAAACATGAGCTAAGTACAGCGGTCAAAGAGAGAAACTGTTAGCTCAAAATACCTAGGTTCAAGGTTGCTTCATCTGTGACTTGACTCAGTTTACACTGCCATCAGGATCCATCTCTTGGCTCCACTCCTCCCAGGCTATTTCCACACTCAGACCCACCTAGCTCCACAGATGCCTGAACAATAATAAACAGGTATAACAAACAGTGACAGCAGACCAGTTCACCTTGTCTGTAACATGCACTGGACTTTCGCACATTTGCTTTTCCTTGAAATAACGTGTTCAGTTCCCCCATTTCTCTCTTGTCATTCCTTAGCTAAAAAATATTTAAGTGACTGTAGAAAAATTCTAACAAAGCAGGAGTTAATCTTAGAGATTTAATATCTCTAAATTTTGATAAAATTAGGGTCATCATTTTGGACCAACTTTTGGTTGGCCTTTTTGAGTTCATGAGACAAGGTTTCTGCCTTTTTTCTTCTTGTGTTTTTGATGCTACTGTCGTTGCTTACGGAGAGCAGGAATGTACAAATAGCCACGCAAAATATGCATGATCTTTTTAAAAAGTGTTAATCTTTTAAAAGGAAGAAAGAAAATAAATAATACTTTTACTTCTCTTTCCTTCAGGAATTGTTGTTTTCCACCTGGGATGTTCTCCACAATTTCAGGCAGAATTGGTTTTAGTTCTATTCCCACAACATTTAACTCTTAGACCAGTATGTGACTGAGCAGCTTCCACTTTAATTGATTTAAATTGCACACATAATTCTGATGGAATTATTCATTGTAAAGTGTACCTTTGGGCCTTCCAGAATGCTGCCTTTTTTCTATGAATCCATTGCATTAATTTACCTGCAAATTCTCCCTTTCTCTAGAGGCTTCTCCTGGTTATATAAATACTTTTGTACAGACTTCTCATAACAAACTGTTCCAAAACACTGTTCTCTCATTTTTTCCCTTGTTTAGCTTGGACATAGACTTTTGGAAGCTTCACAGTTGCAGTTTTTAACGATTTTTTCCTGATAAATCAGAGATATTTGTCATATATCTGATTCATTAATAGATAGTTGTAATAAACACTAAAATGTGGATACAGAATTCTAGCCCTAAAAAAAAGATCCAAATTTCACTTCCAACACAGTTTAATCTTAGTTTTGAAGGTATGTTAGTAATCGATACATGTTTTCCATGACAATTTTACCCTGGTTTATTCTACTATAGACTAGTTAAAATAACAATTGAAATTGGTGAATGTAGAAAGAGTTGTAATGGCAACACAATTTCATTATTTTAATTCTGTGTGTGACATCAGTATCTTGTCACTAGTAAGTGTTTCTAAGATGCTTGAATTGTGACCTTATAGCAGCCTTGTAAATAGGCTATGTGGAGACCAGCAAATACTCCCAACCTATCAGTCCATATAGCTCACTTTACTATTGCAACATCCTCAAATTATTTGTTCCCATGGTTCTGTCCATGGTAGACTGTGTTCGCAAAGGACAGGGATTTGCCTGAAATACAACAGATATTCAATTAATATTTGAGGAGAGAGGGGAGGAATAAAGGAGGGAAGGGAGAGAAGAATCCAGGGCAGGTGCACATATATAACTGTGAATATAAGACTCAGAAAACCATTAAAGAATAATCATATTGCAGATATTGCAGCTGGCCTGGTTTAAGTTCAGAAGCTTACATACATGTGTAGGGAGGACCAGCTTTTGGTGCCACACATCACAGCAGCCACCCTGGGTCTGGTAGGCTGAGGCACTTCCCGGGCAAGCAGGAAGTAGCGGGGGAAGTGGCTTCTTGCTTTTAACTGGTAGCAGCTATGCAGTAGCAGCCCTGCCCACACCTCCGCTATTTTGTTGACCCTTGATGTTTAGTTTGACTCCACTTCTCCTGGCTGGTGCGGAGAGGGAGAGGACAGCTTGACTCTTTCCCTCCTGCTGCTATTCCAGCCTTCCTCCCTCCTTCTTGTTTTTCCTTCTTTCCTTCCTGCTTTTTTTCATCAAAGATAAAAGGTCTTGAAAAAGGCTCAGGACATAAAGTTCTAACTTATATGTTAAATATATGGACTGCATTTTCAAAAACTGTTAATTTGGTTCAGATTACAGAATTACCATGATTTTATACATAGTTAATCAGGCTTGAATACTTATGATCAATTGATTTCAGCAATTTCTGATCCCCAAAGAAAACATCACACGTAATCAGTTATGCTTAGCAGAATGGACCTGGACTAAATAAAGAGAAAACTGTGTTAAGCGGTGAACTGTCCTCATAGTATCTTCTGATCTACATTGGATTATATCTTGAAATATGAATATTCTGGCTAGCAATGTGGTATAACTCATATAGGCTGAATTGAATACAGGTGAGTTTTATTAAGGAGCTGAATGATTTGCAGCAAATAAATAGTATTATAAATGTTGATGCTTATTCCTGGGACAGATGTAATCATCAGGAAGAGATAAAGCCAACATGTGTATTAGGAAGGAGGTAGTTTGAGCTATTGCTGCGTAGTGGCTGTATTTAATTTACTTAATATTATGGTATCATATTCTTAAAATATATAAAAGAAAATGCTCATGATCCTAACCTTTACTGGTTTGAACAAAACCTGCATGTTAAATGTGTTACCTTACTGTCATAAAGAAAACTCAGGATAATTCTCCCCATATGGTGCTGTGCATTTAATTCTCTTTAACAGAGCCACCTGAGTACATGTAAAGTCAGGGATGGAAATGAAAGCTATTGACTTTGATGGCACTATTCCTGAATCCTTTATCAATGCCAATACTCCACAGACGACTGGGACCCCAATCCTATTGATTAGTTATTACCTTCTGAACCTGCTACCTTATTTCTAGCATGCAATAAAACGAACTCAGTATCTGTAACTTTCATATTAGTTGTCTTCTCGGTTGGTAAATGGTTATAGTTAATGTTTACTATGTACAGTGATGATTGTAATAAGTCAGAGCCACACATCTTTTGCTCCAATTTTCTTACCATCCATAGACCTTTGCTTCTCTACCTGGGGACCTCAAAGTGCTGGAAGAGTGCTTTCACTTTCTCAGCTGATAGCTGACTACCAACTTTGCCCTACACCTACACCCACAACCCTCTCCAGAAATCTATTCAGAGCCTAGGTCCACCTTGACCATCTTTATCTGTAAGATAACTTATGTAACATGGAACTGATGGGAATATAAGGGCTAGCAGTCACATTTTAACAGTTTAACATTGGAATGAATGATCTAGAGAGTGTTATCTCAGATAAAAATGCTAATCCTAGCCAAATTTGTAATTAAAAAGGTGGCGTTTTGTCAAACTGTTTTCTCTCTGTTATCCTGTCTTCTATTTTTGATCTCAAAAACTTAGAAATTTTCCACAGGAAGAAAAGAGTAATTTTTAAGATCCCCTCTCCCACTAGCAACAAGTTGTTTGCCCAAATTTAACGTTCGTAAGTCTTTTAGCTTTAAATCATCCCTGCGATCCTGCCAACAATCAAAGGACAGATAATTGAGAAGGTTCAGATTTTAAGTTGCAGCAAATACACAAAAGGATTCTATTTCTGATAACCAGAAACTAGTGGGGTTGTTAGTGTCACCCATAATTTGGTAATTTAGATGTCTATCTAAGTCATTAATTCTGACACAATAGCCTCAATCTGAAGGAAAGTTTTCTTTTTGTTGCAAGTTAAAAATGCTACCTAGTGGCATGCCAGGATCTCTGTGCTATATGTTGGATGTAGGCTGTAATTTATTCTTTTAGGGGCTGACAAAAAATTAAATATCGTCTTCTTCTGTATCTGTTACACATTTTAAACACATACTAATTGAACTCAGTGGTTACTAAATGTCACAGAAATATTTACTGTGTTTAGCCTCTTGGGGGATTGCTGGGGGCAGTGAGTTGAGGATAAACCCTTAAGTCTGGGAGTCAGAGAAGTAATTACCTGTTTGCCTCAAAAGTATATGGAATAAATAAGGGTGGGGTTATTATACTGTCTCTAAGTAATTTTGTTTTCTGATTGACAGGTATATGATAAAGAGGGGATTAAAATCCAAGGAGAAACAGAAGAAAAATATGTAGAAAACACTATTTCCCCAGGCTCACTATATTGTCTTGTAAGGAAAGATGGGTCTGACTGCCAGTAACAGTCTTAAGCAAAATAATCAAACAAGTGAGACTGAAGAAATAGCCTTCTCACATCAGCGTGAGACTATTAGGTAATACGGGAAAATTTAGCTAATGATAATTATGATGATGCCAGCAGCTACTTATTAAATGCTTATTCCATGCCAGGCACTACTAACTCCTATCATCTGGAAAATAACTTTATTGGTATGTTAGTCTCCACCATTGTCTTCCTTCCTCATCTCTATTTAACCAGTGCAGATATTGAGATATATAGAATTGATCCAGGCCACTCAGAGCTAGTATTTGAAACAGTCATTTTGACTTGTATGTCCACATTCCTCTACTTTGATATACTGTTTCTATAGAGAGACATTGAGAGCAAGTAGCAAAAACAAAAAACTATCAAGCAAAAACCCTTTAACCATATGAGCAAATCAAATTGAAAATGGTATTCTTGAGCCTGATCAATCGCTTCATTTTGAATAGTTGTAAGGTGTTTTCAAAATCCAGTTCCAATTTATCACTATTAGGCGTAATCTGACAGAGGTCCTGTAACCAGTGAAGAGAATTCCCAAGGAGCGGCTCCAAAGGTGTTTTAAGCATTTGTAGACATGCTCCCCTAAACTGCCACTTTTGGGGACAAATGTGCTGGGCTGATTGCTGACACCTAATATATTGGTTTAAAAATCAATCATACTGTCTTATCGATATGACTTTTAGAGAATTCGCATATAAAAACACCAAAGAAAAGTTACACTGTGCATTTAAAAGTAAACTATAAATGCACTAAAAGTGTAAATATGAAAAGTAAAAGCCAAAAGAAGAAAATATAGGTAAAACCTACTAGAATAAAATCTTCGGGGTAATGGTTTAGAGAATCACTGCTTTAAAAAAGATTAAATTAACCCCCCCAACAAGCATATGGAGGTTAGGAATTGATAAGTTGGATTACATTAATATAAATTATTTATTTATTATTTCATTATTTAAAAACCCTCGATAAGGTTACTGTCTTTACACTGTCAC